TTCTTCCCTTTTCTTTGATACTCCTCAATCTTGAGGACAAGGTGTTGGACAACAAGAGGGGAACGGTGTTTTGGATAGAGAGGTTAATCATAAACTCAGCAGAGGAACTCCATTTCACAGTGATTTGGTTTCCAACTCCAATCCTGTTTCATCTTTCCCCAATTCTTTCAGGGAATGGGGTGATTACCACTCTGGCTACTTCCTCCTGAAATGGGACATAGTCCTACCTTGATTTGGGAAATGGGCACAGAGCTGGAAATATTCTCGAGTTCCAAGTCCTGGATCTGAGTCTTGTATAATAAAAATCTCATTCCCTGAGGAATTCAGGAGAATAAGCCTGAAAACCAGTCTGGACCTGGCACTTTGGGGGAGACTTGTAGCCAGGTAGCCAGTTGTGTACTTTCATCTAAGTAGGTTTTAACTTCTGATGTGGAATTAACATATATATAACAGGGGCAATTTGATCACTGCACGTCTCCTTTTTCTGCTGACATCTGACTAAAACAATTTTATTGTCTAAAAATTTAATAGTTACAAGAGATCTTGAGGTCATATAGTTGCAGCTGCCATCTGCCAGCAGACACTACTTTGAGAATGGCTGGTGGCATCCCAAGTATGACAGAGCTCAGAAAATTCAAGTTTTCAGCAATATAGGAATATGCCTGAAATCACATGCACAATGGCCACTAGTTTTACCTTGAACGTCTGAACCACATCTACTCCAGTTTTGACTTTCAAATGTATTCCACTCCTCAATGGCCAAGGCAGATGTACAATGCATGTCCGAAAGGCCACAAAACAGGCTGCTCTGGTCAGTAAAGTTTAAGTTAAATCATGTATCAGCTAGAATGACTTCCCCAGACCTCAAAATATGTACAGATTTCCCGTCATCTCCCTTGTTAACTGCAAATTCTTCAACAGACCAAAACATGTCCCTTGATGCCAGGGTGATTTAGCTTCTTGCCCCAGGTCTAGATCATGTCCCTTGGCGCTAGACCTCCTTTATATTTGCCTAGATACTCATGATGGGGGAAAACTGATCAAATACTGTGAACAGGCTCAGAGGTATGTTAATGGGTATACACTTTATAGGCCATACATTTTATCACTTATACCCAATTGCCACACAAGCATTGTACATGTGCTTTTAGCAGTAGACTTATAAGCAGGCAGTGTTCTCCACAAACATGTAAATTAAGTCTGGTCAATTGACTACATAGGCTTTCCCAAACTGGCTGTGGTGGAACTCCTCAGGAGTCTTAGACTGAATTCCCAAAGGCCTCTCAAGGCCAGGAAATCCATGCCAAAGGCCTGCCATCAGATTCTGCCTTGGTGGCATTCTTGGTCCCCAAAATATGAAGATTCCTGTACATGCCAGGAGACAGTCTTTGCCCATTCACCTGATAAGGCTGCTCAGAACCCAAGGATCTCCAGTTTCTGGAGGGACCAGCCAGAGAGAAAAGAAAAATATTTCAGTTTTACTCAGTAAGGTATAATTTACCAAATTTCGGTAACTCATGAGTAACTTGAGAGGAAGTGCTTCCCTATATCTGGAAAACACAAATCAGAATCAGTAATATTCCAGACAAAACCCATAAACATTATAACCGTATTCACCAGTTCACTTAGTAACCAATCCTTTTGTTAACTTTTTATGAAGCCATCAGGACTTCCATTAGGGTTTTAAATGTCTTACCCAGTTCAGCAGTATAATCTGAGTATAACCTGGCGATCCAGTGGTTAAGACTCTGCACTTCCACTGCAGGGGGCATGGGTTCAATCCCCGGTCGGGGAATTAAGATTGCGACTTAATTTTGCCATGTCGTGCAGCAAAAAAAAAAAAAAAAAGTATTATAATCTAAAATTTATTAGTCCTTCCTGTGAATCTTCTTGAAGATGAAGCAAGTTTGCAAAGCATCAGCTTAACTGTCTATTAAAGACTTAAAAAGGCAAGGTTAAAGATCTGATTACAGTGTGTTAACAGAAAAGCTTAGTCAAGTTGCTGCGATATACAACATTTTAAGATAACCAGAATTATGACTGATAGCATTATACCAGGACATATCTACATTTCAGAAACTTTACATAATTTCTAGAATATATTAATAACATTTATATGTACTGTATAATCTGAGGAGGCTTATCACCCACTTGACGATGCTTCCCATGTAATTCAACATACCAAATAATACGAGTTAAATACTTCTAAGATGCATCAAGGGCCCTCTAAAGCATCCCAAAGTTAGCTGGAGGGCAAAAGAATTTTAATTAAAATTTGGTATTTGGGAAGTTCCTCAAAAAGTTTCAAAACACTTGGTCAAATAAGATCACAGGTCACTGTAAGACAATACTTGTTTCTTAACCAAAGTGAGAAGAGATCTCAGAAGCAAATATAGATCACTTAAAGGCAAGGAAGTTCACATAATCTGTTATCAAAAGCAGCATTCTAGGGACTTCCCTGGTGGCGCAGTGGTTGGGAATCCGCCTGCCAATGCTAGGGGACACGGGTTCGAGCCCTGGTCTGGGAGGATCCCACATGCCATGGAGTAACTGGGCCCGTGTGCCACAACTACCGAGCCTGTGCTCTAGAACCCAGGCTCCGCGATAAGAGAAGCCACCGCACCAAATGAAGAGTAGCTCCCGCTCACTGCAACTAGAGAAAAGCCCGCGCAGCAATGAAGACCCAACACAGCCAAAAATAAATTAAAAAAAAAAAAAAAAAGCATTCTAAGTAAACTTGTTCCCTTAGTAGAGAGGGACCAAATCGAGTCTTGCACCAGCCTATTTTTAATAACAAAATCCATTTACTTAAGTTTAACCTAATCTCAGCCCAACCATGTGTAAAACTCCCTTTTAAAAAAATATATATCCTACTTTCCTGCTGTATACTGAAATGTTTCCTTTATTATTTTAGTAGCTTTAATTACATATTTAAATTTGAATCCAAAGCTCTAAAAAACCCTTAATTTCTAGTGAAACCCAAGAAGCAATCAATTATTAACTGTCCTTTAGCATTCTGTAGGTTGGCAAACAACATTTTTTTTTTTTTTTTTTGCAGTACGTGGGCCTCTCACTGTTGTGGCCTCTCCCGTTGCGGAGCATAGGCTCCGGACGCGCAGGCTCAGCGGCCATGGCTCACGGGCCCAGCCACTCCGCGGCATGTGGGATCTTCCCGGACCGGGGCACGAACCCGTGTCCCCTGCATCGGCAGGCGGACTCTCAACCACTGGCCACCAGGGAAGCCCAATAATAATATTTTAAAACATCTGCTTTTTATAGAAAATATCTCAGTGTGGCACCAAACATAGTCCCAGACACCTTTAGCTTCTATATTCAGTACTTAATGTTTCAGTACCCTGCCTGGGAATGACCTAGCTATTCAGTAATCCCCCACCATCCAACCCAAACTAGCACAACTCTAAAATTTAAGTTACCAAATATCTGGAGGGACCACCCTTAAGCAGACATTCCCAAATCATAGCCATTTCTAAAGAGATCACCCAAAAGCTCTCATCCTATTTGCATCTAATTTACTTATAAGAATTTCATCATACCAAGCTAATTTTTTTTTCTGTTGACAAACTGTGCAACAGAAACAACATAAACCCATTCACCCTCAGTAAACCCAGGCACAATAAAAGACATGTCTGTATTGACCACACCAACAATTGCCTTCATACCTCCTTGCCAAGAGAACCCCAATACTGTTCAGTTATTAGGCCCATGATTTTCATTGGTCCCTCCTTAGCCCCAGTGGGTGAATGAGGATTAGGTTAAGGCAATCCTGGTGTAATTCCTTTTCTTCTTGGCAATATTTGATTTAATACAGGTGCAACCTTGCTTAAGAACTGTGAAGGCAAATAAGGGAACTTTTGGGTTTCCTTTGCTCTTGAAAGGGACAAAAGGTTCATACTTTCCTGAATCTGGTCATTGTTGGATGAGGAGTGGTGCTGTGGAAGCTGTCTTAGGATCATGAGGGAACAAATCCAAGGACGAAACTGACATGTAAGAATGGCAGAGGAAAATATGGCAAGAACCTGGATCCTTGATGTCACTGATTCACTGACTGAATCTATGCTGGAACCATTAGGAGTTAGTCGTAATTATTTAAGATACTTTTAGTTGTGTTTTCTATTACAAGCATTTAAAAGCATCCTAAGTAAGTAATGTTAAAGGCATCTCTCACAATTTATACTTATTTTTAGGAAACTCTTACTAGAAATTTCTATTGCTGGTTATAAGGTTTATCCTAAGTAGTTTGAATTTTCTAAAAGACATGTCTGTATTAGTCAAACCAACAAGCTTAAGCTAGCTTCAATACCAGATATCAATTCCATACTGAATATTTCCCAGATCATGAGGACCTGAAGTTCATTTTGGCCTGTTTTCTAAATAGTAGTAAGTATTTAATTGGTAAGCATTTACTTTTAAGTCTATTAAATAGAGCTCATTTACAAGTTAACCTCAGCAATACTATCCAAAGACAAAGACACCTAATCATAACGAAACACATACATCCAGATAGCTCTCATAGCCAGCAAACTTACATGCAAGACAAATGTAAACATACACACAGAACAAAATCTAATTCCTGCAGAACAAAAACAAAAGGGTGAATGAAGTCCAACAATTTCCTCAACTCTTTCAAACAAGGATCCTACTTTTTAACAGCAAACAACATGCAAATGTAAAGATAAGGAATCATTACCACACGTGTCATGGCAATTCACCTGGCAAATGCAAACCAAAAATAACAGTTGGAATAGGTTGAATTTACTTAGTTACCTTCAAGCTTGCTCCTCAGAATATTTTCGTTCTCTTGGGGTCAGAATTCTGAAAAAAAGGTATTTTATCAAGCCAGCTTTCTCTTAACTGCATATGCAAAAAGAACCAGTTTTGGAATTTTAAGAGAGTTTCATCTTAATTAATTTAGTCCAGAGTCTAAAGAATGTAGTGGTGGTGAAATGTTAAAAAAATATCTTCTTTCTCTCTCTTTCTAGGAGCATACTGAAGATCTCCCACTTTTGCAAAATACATGCTAGGGGGACTGCAAGATGGAACAGAGCTCTGATTATCCATACTTAATTATTCATGGCTGGTGTTATCTAGTATTAATAAAGCAAACAAATGCAATGCAAAATGGTCTTTCAGGATCACAGTTCCCCAGCGCCAAAAAGGGAGATACCCATTCATTGCAAAAGGAAAATCCCAACCAATGCTCGACCACAGGCAAAACCCAACACAATAGGGAAGGATACCCTGGTGCCCTCACACGCAAGCCCTGTTACCGAAGACGTCTCAACTGACCAGTGCATACTGATACACACACATACAAACAACAAACGAACGGTCCCACTAACAAAGGCGCAAGCTGGAGTGGCTCACCCCAAAACAATACACACACACAAAAACACAAACTACGGTCACACAGAAAATCAGTGGAGGTGTAGTCTAAAATTCCATTTCTACTCCCAGATGGAGGTCTCCAAACAGACTGGCTTAGCTCTCAAAAGAGAACAGACCCAGAGTGTCTCACTTCCTACAAGGGAAGTAACCCAAATGGAGTGGAGAGAATTCCCAGCCTGTGCAAGATGGAGCGACTTACCCCCAAGTGACACCAAATGTGGACCATAGCTCTGGACGTTTCTCTGCTCCAAATGGCCTTGTGCACTGGGGCAGCTGACGCCTCTCAGGGAGAGTCCCTCACAGTTCCCGGGTGCAAAATGAGCTCCAGCAGTTGCTGGGAACTTGGGAAGGGGCTGTCCCTGGCCGGGGTCCACCCGCCACAGGCACAGATTCCTGGCTGGCTCACCATAATTGTTACCGAACGCAAGTCTGTGCCTAATAACAGAGTGAGACCGAACAATACTGAAACATTAGAGTTTGAAGCAGAGAGGTTAATTGTGGGGCCAGGCAAGGAGACAGGTGGCTCATGCCTTAAAAAGGCCAAACTCCCGAAAAGCTTTCAGCAAAGCTCTTTTTAAAGGCAAGGTGAGGGGGGATGTGAACTGTTGCAAACTTCTTGGTGTCAGATCCTTGGTTCTTGTATCTTGTCCGTGTAGGCAAGGTTTCTGTTATTCTCTGTTCAGGTCAGGTCAAGGTCAGGCTATCCTGTATATTTCAAGCCATAGGCAACATTCTTTTACAAGAGGTGCAGAGCCAGCATGACTAAGCAGAGGCAACAGGGCACAAAGGTTGGAGCTAAAGAAATAGATCCAATATGGAGTCAGACTTATTATTCTCTATTACAAGACCCCACACACCCCTCCCCCCCCAACTTCAGATTCAAGTCCCCCATGCATGGCATCACAAGGTCCTGTGGGGGAAACAACTTAGTCCCTTCCTTCAGTGATCTGACGCTGGAGTTTTTCTGCAGTGTTCTTCCAGCATGGCCATGCAGCCAAGGACTGAGCATCTCCAGTGACTGAGAGCTCAGCCTGCTCTCACGAACTCTGTTAGGAAGTACTCCCCCCACACCCCCGGGTTTTTTAGCATAAATCTGTTCTCACGGCAACCAGCCTTTACCATTGGTTTCCGCCCCCCACCCTGGGAAAACCTTTCTCCCCACAACCTCCAGAGCATTCGGACAGCAAGCGTGCCCCCCCCACCCCTTCTATCCATGTGAATTCTGTTCCTTTGTCCCAGCGTCGCATGGTTTGTGTCCCCTTCTGGTCTGAACGCTTCTGCCCTGCATGTGTCATGTTTGGGGCTAACGTTGCCCCTGAGGTGTGGTGCCCACAGTCAGACACAGCACACTGGGTGTGGTGATTGTCCATCAATAATTTGGCACTTTGATGGCTTTTCTCAAGAAACAGATGATTGCCTTTTGCAACATGAGCCCTTGAAGGCTGACATGGGTCACTTCTGGGGACAGTGTAATGATGGGTCTGAGTAAGGCCAGAGGGTCTTGCTCCTTTGACACGTGCAGTGGTTCCCAGACAGTGGCCCACAGGACACGGGTCACCAACAGTCAGGGGACTTCCTGTGCAAAGGTTGCCAACTGTGACTGTGCTTCCATGCTGGAACCTGGGTGCCCTTGATGCCCTTAAAGTGTTCTTCATCCGTCTCTGGAGGGCCTGCTACACGTATACATTCCATGACCAGTGCAATGTGTTTATAAGCGGGTGCATAATAAATTACTGGAAATAGCTGAGGTTTTAATCCTCCATTAATACAGAAAGTTTGACTCCTGTCAGCCATGGTCTCTGTTTAAAATATTTAGGAGTTGGTTTCCACAGCGGTCTGCCAAATCCTTCCATGATGGATGGCGGAAGCCAAGCCGAGTCGGGGGCACTTCACTCACTGTGGAGGTGCGGGGGCCAGGGGACGCGCTGCTGCTTCTCACACCAGGTCAAGGAGCCAAGACTGTTCTGTGAGAAGAGTAGGAAGCCACTCGAGGACACGAAGAATTTCTGTCTCCAGTCCGAGGGTTAAGGACAGGGATGTCCAGCATCTTCTTTGTCAGGGGCTCCTCTGTTGAAGCCATTTGCCTGTTAGTATCCGGGTTTCCCTGGGGATGTGTCCTTTACACTAGTTTTCTCACTTTCAGAGCTGCTATCATGACTGGTCACCCAGGTACGACACAGGTATTTCTATCTATCCGCCCCACACCAAAGCCCTCCCTTATCCTGGGCAGTAAGGGCCCCCGGGGTCCTTTAGAACCTGACACTGATACCTGCAGGGAAGGGCCTGATCCTAAAATACACGAGAGGATCCAGCACTGAACACCTGGGTGATGCCCTCGTGAGAAATTCAGGAAGTGCCACTTGAGGTAACAGGTCAATCAATGGTGCTACCCCTTCATCCTTACAGACATGAAGTTCCCTGCAAGCTTTCCTGCCTGCTCCATAGTAAAGGAAGCGAAACAATAAATACAGGTGCGCTGCCCTGCCATGTGGGAAGCGCTCGCGTACCCAGCACTTGATGCCCAGACCCGTCCCTGCCTCGCCTCCCGTCTCCTCCGCTCCAGCCATCCCCAGCCGTGTCGCCGGCGGCACCATTAGCGACCCTCCTCCTCACTGTGGGAAGTTCCTCAGGCATCCCAGGCCCTCCCGGGATGTCCAGACCCCAAGGCTTTCCTATAACACTCTCCCTTCCACCAAACTGCTCTTCGGTAGGTCTACGAACGCCTCGTACCATGTCTGCGCACCTGCACGGGGGGTGGAGCCCTCTCCCCGCTCTTGGTCCAGCCTCGCCCTCCCTTCCAGGCCCCCGATTGCGCAGCCCCCAGCGCGCTCTGCTCGCTCACAGGGGACCGGGGTGCTTCTGTCCTGGTGCCACGCTTGGCGTGCGCTGTGTCATGTCGGGCGGGAGACAGTTCTCCAAGGGCCTCTCCTGTGTCTGACATCTTGCAGGCGGAGACGCTGACACCTCTATTCTGTATGGACTGTCTTTACAAGGATGCTTACACGGTGGACAGCCTGGAACCTCGGAGATGGAGGTTCCCTCTGGAGAAGGGGTGGCAGCCGTGCTTCCCATCATACAAGCCTTGCCTGCCTTGGGCTCTAGGTTCCTCTCCTGTAATGCCACCCGCTGCCGTGCAGTCACCATGTGGCCACCTGAGTCACCCTGCAGGAACTGGGGAACTAGCACAAGAAAAGACTGGCACCCAGACTACTGATATAATTTAACTCCTTTATCTCTGACTCAGGGTCCTGTGTCTCCTGCCAGCACCCAGGACACTGGTGGGCTAGCTCCTCACTTACAAGTGGGGGAAAATCTCAGCCCTTTCACAGCTCTTGACAGGACCTTACTCTGGGAGTCTCATCTCCCCCAAATAAGAAAGTCAAGGGTAGAGACAGGAATCCTGTATTATATTTCCTAACACCTCTGTTTTCCCCTACACATTCTAGTGCACAGTAAGGTTTTTTGATGATGAAATAAATGATATTGATAATAAAGGCAAATAATCATAGTAAGAAGCTCCCTAGTTTGACTCAGTTTCCACCCATAATGATCTTTTCTGTTCTGCATGGCTCTGGGTCTCTCAAGCAATAGGGTCATTTTTTAATTGCACGTGTGCAAGAGGGGATGGGCAAGGAGCAAGTGTGGGGAGCCTAGGGAACAAGATGAAGGGAATAGGTTCCATAACCAAGCTGTGGCAGAGATTCCTAATTGCCACTCAATATTCATTCTTCCTTTTTTTTCCTTGTAAAAGTAATCCTAATTATTGTTTTAGCTGAGAACATCATGGCTAGCTAAAATCATACATTTCTCAGTCTGCTTTGTAGCCAGATCTGGCGTATCACAGAGTTCTAGCCGAGGAGACACAGTGGAAGTGGAAGAGAGCGTTCCCTCATTTTCACTCCTTTTTTCTTCCTACTGCCTGGATTGCAGATATAATTGTTGGCACTCCAGCAGCCATGTTGGCCCATGAGGTGAATTTGGAAATAGAATTCATGCATAGTGAGTAACAAGACAGGAGGAGCATGAGACCCTGATACCACGAAGCCACCAAACCATCTGTGAACTGACTCCTGACTTCGTTTCATGAGAGAAAAAGAAACTTCTATTTTCTTTAAGCCACTGTTATTTTGGATCTTCTAGCAACCTAATCCTAACTACTACACAAACTCAATTTTCACTGAGTGTGGAGTATATTATAAATCACACTTCCTAAGAAAGGTGCCATCCTATGTCCCTTTGACACTCAAAACATTGAAAAGTGATCAAACCACGTACATGTCTCCATGCAACCCAACAGCAAACCCATTTTAAACAACTGAATTCAATTCTATTTTATGAAGAACTTAGTCTGACTCACACATGTGTGTAGTGTGTCTTAGGAATACTTACATAAACATATTTAGGAATGGCTTGTTTCAAATATTTTCTAACAGCTTGAACGTAAAGATTTTACTACCTAAAATAAAATGTCATAGGTACTTTGAAAATGCTTCATAACTTCTCATGCCGCCAGCACAGCCCAATTCAGGCTGGGCCTGGCTTCCAACCTTGGCATCCTTCCTCTTGTACCCTAGTGATTTTAATCCCTTGGGCCAACCCCAAGCCAAGGCAAGAGACGCCCCAGCCCTACCAGCTCCACAGCCTGGGACCTTGGCTTCAGGTGACCATTGCTACCATCGGCTGCCTTATGCAAAATGCGATCCTTAATAAACCCTTCTGTGGAATGT